ATTATTCCTGTGGTGGTCCCTGCTACTCCAGCCAGGATGCTGATTCCCATCACCGTGGGGGGGCTGTGGACCAACTCTTTCAGAGACCCCAGAAGTGATGTGTAAGGGAAAAGGTATGGGGGCTGAGGCACTGGCAATGGATATAGTAGATAAGACATAGGCCAGGGGCCGGCCTTGTGGCCCAGTGGGTTAAGCTGACACCTACAATGCCAGCATCCCATATCTGCGAGCTGGTTTGAGTCCAGACTGCTCCAGTTCTGATCCAGCTCCCTGCTAATGTGCTTGTGAAAGCAGAGGATGATGGCCCAAGTGCTTGAGGCCCTGCCACCCATGTGGGAGACTCAGATGGAATTCTGGGCTCCTGGCTTCAGCCTGGCCCAGCCCCAGTCATTGTAGCCATTTGGGGAATGAACCAGTGAATGGAAGATCGCTCCCCCTCTCCCCTGTGTCACTCTATCAAATAAATGAAAAATAAATTCAGTTCTAAAAAATGAAAGTAAAAAATAAATCCAGCAAGAACAGCTGGAGAAGTATTGGCTATAAATGAAGTGCAGCCTGAAGTGGCCTGACAAAGGGAGAGGAGTTAGCTAGGAGTACAGGTTGGAAGCAGAGGGAAAAGACTGTGGAGGGCATGTTTTACTTATCTGAGCTCCTTTGAAAGTGTAGGCACAAGTCCTCCAGGGGTTCTGTTGACCGAGTACCTCTTGGTTCTGGGTCTTCTCGATCTTCAGAGCAGTGTAGCTTAACTTGGATGGTACATCCAGCTAGGAATGCCAGGTGCCTATTTTACTGTAGTGTGGAAAGTAAGACAAAAGGAAAGGAAAAGGGAGGTAATACATCAAGCAGGGTCCAATAAGGAGACAGAAATGACATCAGATCTTAACAGTAGCATTTTTTAAAAGAGATTTATTTATTTATTTGAAAGGCAGAGTTGCCGGTGCCGTGGCTCAATAGGCTAATCCTCCGCCTGTGGCACTGGCACCCCGGGTTCTATTCCCGGTCGGGGCACTGGATTCTGTCCCGGTTGCCCCCCTTCCAGGCCAGCTCTCTGCTGTGGCCAGGGAGTGCAGTGGAGGATAGCCCAAGTGCTTGGGTCCTGCACCCCATGGGAGACCAGGAGAAGCACCTGATTCCTGGCTTTGGATCAGCGCAGTGCGCCGGCAGCAGCACGCCGGCCGTGGTGGCCATTGGAGGGTGAACCAATGGCAAAAGGAAGACCTTTCTCTCTGTCTCTCTCTCTCACTGTCCACTCTGCCTGTCAAAAAAGAAAGAAAGAAAGAAAGAAAGAAAGAAAGAAAGAAAGAAAGAAAGAAAGAAAGAGTTATAGAGATAGAGGGAGAGATAGGAAGAGGGGGAGAACTTTCATCTGGTTCATTCCCCAAATGACCACCACAGCTAGGGGCTGGCAAGGCCAAAGCCAGGATCCTGGAACTCCATCTGAGTCTTCCATGTGGGTGGCAGGGGACCAGGCACTTGGACCATCTTTAGCTTCTTTCTCAGGTACTTCAGCAGGGAGCTAGATTGGAAGAGGAGCAGCCAGATCCCAAACAAGTGTTGGTTTGGGATGCCAGTGTTACAAGCTGTGGATTAACCCACTACATCACAATGCCAGTCCCAACAATGATTATTTAATATAAAGGACTATTAAATGGGTATAGAGTTGTTTGTAGATAACTGAAAAAGTGAAAGAGCATTAAGTCTGTAGGAATTAGCTACCACCCCTGGAGAGAGGGGGCAAAATGAAGACATTGGAATGATTTAAACTCAGAAATTGAGAAACTTAGGAGTTGTGGTGATAAAATGCAGACGTCTGGGAAGGAGCACTGCCCAGACTGCCCTATAAGTGCTGGAGAAAACCACGGGCTGGATTCAGCTTCTGTCCTGGAAGGAACAGATGCTGCCAGAATCGAGAAGGTTCCCAATGCTCAGAGGCACAGACACATCATGGGAACCAGACAGGCAAGAACAAGTCCTTTCTATTTGCTCAAGCCCTAAAGCCTCCCTCTAGCACCCACTACTAGAAAATCCTAATGTGGAACCCACAAGAGAACAGAAATCTCACTTGGAGAACCTACACCCAAGACTCTCAAAGCAGAGAATAGAAAGATAGATTTGGAGCTGAGATAATAATTATTGGCACAGGTAAATATATCATAGATTAAACTAATAATTTAAAAGTTATTCCATGTGGGGCAAGTGGTGTGTTACAATGGATTAAGCTGCCACTTGGGATGCCCACATCCCATTTTGCAGCATGAGTTCTAGTTCTGACTTCTCTTCTGATCCAGCTCCCTGCTAATTTACCTGAGAGGCGGCAGATAATGGCCCAAATATCTGGGCCCCTGCCACCCATGTGGAAGACTCAGATGAAGATCCTGGGTCCTGATTGGAAGGTGTCCGGCAGGTAACAAACCTTCCCAGGCAGATGAATCAATTAATTCACAAGCTTTTATTGGGATTCTGTTCCCAGGTGAGATTCACCGGTCCCAACAGAGGGGGGGCCAGGGAAGTCGCACGTCAGAGGTTAGGAGGGCTCCTTTTATAGATACAGGGTGTGGGGGCTAAAGGTTGAGGCAGGTCCGATCCTCACTGGTTGACCTTTAGGTGCCTGAGGAGGCACCGACCAACACCGCAGCTGCCCTTGATAGCAAAATGGACCTCGCTTTCCAGGTTGTTCGCATGTGAATGGAAGGATTTGATATCATGTAAGCCAAGAGAAGGGGAGCATGACTGGAAAAGGAAGGAGTGGTCCGTGCTGTGAAATGATGCAGAAAAACATCTGCGGAGAAGGGAGTTGTTTGTCGGAGTTACCATCCAAGAGGCTCTTAGTTACCTTGCTGAGAATAGTATTGATTGGTTGAAAGGGGAGTGGATTGAGAAATCCAAGACATGAAATAAAGTTGAGATGATTCTTTCAACAATCTCAGGTTGAAAGGTTTCTTGCTGGCCACATCTATAGACTGGAGAGTCAAAATAAATGATAACAAGTAATTGGACCATTGAGTAATGAGTCTATATTGATATAAATAAATAAATGGGGGAAGCTCTTCCAGTAGGGTACCAACCAATGAGTGCACGAAGAAGAAACAATGGGTTAACAAGAATCACCATTTTCCACTAGCAAAGTAGTCATGGCATCAGGAAAGAAACGTTGTGCATGAGAAAGCTGATAGATAAAAGCCCGATAAGGAACATGATGTTGACGTACTTTCAAATATCTTCCCATAAATTATTAACCAATTTCAATGGGAAAATTGTCACTATATAAAGGAAAAGCCTAGTGGACACCACTTTAACTGAGTGATCAGAGCAAGTACACAGCGTCGAGTGCTTCTGGTGTAACGAACTGAGAACACCACTACGTCACTTCCACAATGTTCCAACCACAAGTGCACAACCTGAAATGAATTCTAAGAGACATGGGGAAAACCCAAATTAGAGACTTTTTTTTATGAAAAGAAAATGACCTATATGCTTCAAAAGATCCATGGTCACAAAAGACAAGGAAAGACTGAGAAACAGATTAAAGAACAGTAAAGCAGAGTTTGACTTTTTTTTTTTTTTATTATTTGAAAGGCAGAATAGAGTTTGGCACTGTGGTGCACAAGGTTAAGCCACTGCCTGCAGTGCCAGCATCTCACATGGGTACCGGTTCAAGCCTGGCTGCTCCACTTTCAACCCAGCTCCCTGCTAATGGCCTGAGAAAGCAGCAGAAGATGGCCCAAATATTTGGGCCCCTGCACACACGTGGGAAGCCTGGAAGAAGCTCCTGGCTCCTGGCTTTGGCCTGGCTCAGCCCTGGCCATTGAGGCAATCTGGGGAGTGAACCAGCAGATGGAAGATCTCTCTCAAATTTGTCTTTGAAGATCTTTCCTTTTTTTTTTTTTTTTTTTTTAAGATTTGCCTATTTGTTTGAAAGAGTTGCAGAGAGAGAGAGAGCGAGAGAGAGAGCTTCCATGTGCTGATTCACTCCCTAGATGGCTGCAATGGCCAGAAATGTGCCGATCCAAAGCCAGGAGCCAAGACCTTCTTCTGGGTCTCCCACGTAGTTGCAGGGGTCTGAGAACATGGACCATCTTCCACTGCTTTCCCAGGCCAAAGTAGAGAGCTGGATTGGAAGTAGAGCAGTCAGAACTCGAACCGCTGCCCATATGGGATACTGGCACTGGCACTGCAGGCCGTGGCTTTACCTGCTAGGCCACAGCGCTGGTCCTGGAAGATATCTCTCTCTCTCTCTCTCTCTCTCTCTCTCTCTCTCTCTCTCTCCTCTCTATCTCTGCTTTTCAAATAAACAAATCTTAGAAAAAAAAAAAAGGAATGCCAGAGTGAGTGCTGTCTAGACAGAGAACCCAAAGCCTGTAGGATTGGCAGGTGTGTGAGTTGTGGGGGTATTTTGTTATGGAAACCCAAGCAGATGAATTTGCCTCTGTTCAATTAAAGATTTTGCTGGTTATAGATTTAACTTTGGAGATATCATTCCATTGTCTTCTATTTTTTTAAAAGATTTAATTTACTTATTTGAAAGACAGAGTTACAGAGAGAGGTAGAAACAGAGAGAGAGGTCTTCCATCCACTGGTTCACTCTCCAGATGGCCGCAATAGCCAGAGCTGTGCTGATCCGAAGCCAGGAGCCTCCTCTGGTCTCCCATGCGGGTACAGGGGCCCAAGGACTTGGGCCATCTTCTACCGCTTTCCCAGGCCACAGCAGAGAGCTGGATTGGAAGAGGAGCAGCTGGGAAGAGAACTGGCACCCATATGGGATGCCGGCACTTCAGGCCAGGGTGTTAACCTGCTGTGCCACAGCGCCGGCCCTAGCTTCTGACTGTATTTTTGCTGTTTGAGATGTCAGCCGTCAGTCTGACATCTAGGGCAGAATTTGACTTTTTTCTTCATCTGTTTTTAAGGATCTTTTCTTACTGAGATGTTTAGTTGACAATCTGTTTTTTTCTTTTCTTCTCCTTCTCCTTCTCCTTCTCCTTCTCCTTCTTCTTCTTCTGGCAGAGTTAGACAAAGAGAGAAAGAGAGAGAGAAAGGTCTTTCTTTTCCGCTGGTTCACCCCCTAAATGGCCGCTATGGCCGGCGCACTGCACTGATCCGAAGCCAGGAACCAGGTGCTTCTCCTGGTCTCCCATGCGGTGCAGGGCCCAAGCACTTGGGCCATCCTCCACTGCACTCCTGGGCCACAGCAGAGAGCTGGCCTGGAAGAGGGGCAACCGGCACAGAATCCGGCGCCCTAACTGCGACTAGAACCTGGTGTGCCAGCGCCGCAGGCGGAGGATTAGCCTATTGAGCCACAGTGCCGGCCTAAAAACCACTATTTTTTTTTATTAAGTAAACATACTTCATATTTTTTCTAGTTGTCCCCATATCTCACATTTTTGTAGTTTTGATTTTGCTGATTTTTTTTGTATTGCATCTAAGTCTTGTTGTCTTGCTTCTGGTATGTTTCACAATTTTTGAATGCAAGCAGTTTTTAAGATTTATGTATGTGTGCATGTATTTATTCATTTGAAAGACAGACTGACAGAGAGCTCTATCTTCCATCTGCTGGTTCACTCTCCAAATGGCTATAACAGCTGGGCTGGCCCAGTCAGAAGCCAGGAGTCCAGGACTCCATTTGGGTGTCCCATGTGGGTAGCACGGGCTTAACGACTTGGACCACCCTCTGCTGCTTTCCCAGGTGCATTAGCAGGAAACTGGATCAGAAGCAGAGCAGCTGGGACTCAAACTGGTGCTCAGAAATGGGATGCTGGTGACTCAAGCAGCAACTTAATCCCTGCTGCTCTTTTGCCTTCTTATCTGTAGAAAAATTCTTAGAGATTTGAGGGAATGTTATGTTTCCCCAGAAAGCACACAGGTTTGGTTCTGCCAGGTGCCTGGGAGTAACATGAGTCTAGGACCGCTTACTTTTACTTTAAATGAAAGACTTTCTGAGACATCCAAGTGGTGTCCATTGATGGTGAAAGCCGGCTATGGCTGTGAAGATTTGGTACACTGCCTTCTTCTGCAGAAACGGTCTTCTCTGTGCTCCCCTGGGTCAGGGTAGAGATTCCTAATCACCCTGGACGTGAGGACTATGCAGCCCTCGGTGACGCCAGCTTGCTCGGGGCTTTCCTATTAGACTTACCACCCTGGGTAAACCTTTGGGTTCTGTTTTCTTTCATTTGCTATAAAACAGATGTTAAAGAATGAAACACAAACCAACCCATGTAATAAAGTTGCAAAAAACTGAATACACACACAATTGAGCACAGTGAAACGGGGGAAAGAAGAGCAGTATGGATCGTGCCAATGTAAATATCCTAGTTGTGGCGTAACAAGTGGAGCTGCCGCCTGTGATGCCAGCACCCCACGAGGCACCAGTTCGTGTCCCAGCTGCTCCACTTCCAATCCTGCTCCCTGCTGGTGGCCCGGGAAGGATGGCAGAGGATGGCCCAGGCGCTTGGGTCCCTGCCACCGACATGGGAAACTCAGATGAAACTCTTGGCTCCTGGCTTCAGCTTGGTTCAGCCCTGGCCATTGCAGCCACTTGGGGAGTGAATCAGCAGAGGGAAGATTTCTGTCTCTCCCCGTCTCTTTCTGTAACTCTGATACATAACTCAAATACATGCATGAATCTTTTTTTTTTTTAATCCCAGTTGTGATGTTTTCTATAGGTCTGTGAGGTTTTCACAGTAAAAGATAGCAGGGCTCTCTGGATATTATTCCTTACATCTGCCTAATCTACAACTCAACCAATAAAAATTCCCCTCCCAAACCCACAGTTTATGTAAAATTACATTCATATCTGACCAAAATGTTAACAAGTAATCTCCTTCCTCTGAATCACAAAGTTCAAGGTCTCAGCATTGCTGTGGTCCTCGCCACAGTCCCCCCAGGCCCTCGGTCAGCACAGCAGCGGAACCCTCAGAAGCGCTCAGCTGGGGCAGATGAAGGAGAGGAGCAAGTCCACCTCATTGCGCACAATGAGTCTCCCTGGGTGGATGCTGTCCGGCAGGGCCAGGCTGGAGGTCATTTCCCAGGCATCCACAAAGGCCACCCGGAGGCCAGCAAAGGCAGCTCGGAGCAGCCGGTTCACCTGCAGGGTGAGCCAGTCACTGCCGTACACGGACTTGTAGCCGGTGTTGGCCAGTTTGATGACCACAAGCGTGCGGGGCTCCCGGGCCAGCAGGGCCGTCACAGCTGCCCGGATGCCTGCCAGTCGTCGCATGAAGATGGACGGAGGGAAGGTGGTGAAGTGAGCTCCCAGACCCAGCACCACCACGGTGTGGGGACCCCCTGCCAGGCCCCCCAGCTCGCGGGCCACAGAGTGCAGGGAGGCCACTGGTGTGCGGAGGGAGCGCAGGGGCCAGCTGTGGGCCCGCCAGTGCAGCACGATGCCCCGGGTGGTGTCCACGGCCATAAGGGGCCCCACCTGATAGGTGACGTGCAGATCCACGGGCTTGAGGGCTGTCGGGAGGATGAGAGAGAGGGATAAGGGGTTAATAAAGGGCTGTGTGCTATTCTCTTGAACCAGTAAAATTCCAGGGCGTTGCTGAGGCATAGTGGGTAAAGCCACCACCTGCCGTGCTGGCATTCCATATGGGCACCTGTTCAGGTCCTGGCTGCCCATTTCTGTCCAGCTCCCTGATAGTGGCCTGGGTAGGCATGGAAAATGGCCCAAAGGTTTGCACTGCTGCAGCTGCATAGGAGACCCGGAAGAAACTCCTGGCTTCCTGGCTTCAGCCTGGCCTAGCCCTGGCCATTGCAACCATCTGGGGAGTGAACCAGCAGATGGAAGACCTCGCTCTCTCGCTCTCTAACTCTGACTTTCAAATAAATAATCTTTTTTTTTTTAAAGGAAAATTCCAGTCCCTGCTTGTTTCCAGGATACAAGCATTGTGCCGATAACTCATGCTTCTCTCCTCAGTGTTCAAAGTTGCCAAAGATCTCACTGTTATCCACCCAGGCTCCTTTAGACTTAGTCTTAGCTCTGTAGTGCTGATGCCCCTCTGCTGGTCGATCACTCCCCCAAACCACCGTCTTGTCTTCTCTCTGTAACCTTACATTATCCCATTGTTTTCCTACTGTTCTGGTCATTCTTTGCTTAGTCGTTTGCTTCATATTTCCCTTGCACTTTGCAGATGAAGGCATTCACTACATTTCTGTCGGTGGCGCCCACTTTTCTCCATCAACTGCCTCGTGGGAAAATTCACTCACTTCCAGCTTTTCAGAGGTTTCCTAAGAGCTGGGGCTTCCTGACCTTTGACTGCACGCTCCACAAGCCCAGCTGCTTTTTCTCTCTAATGTTTCTCCAATGCCTTAAACGTGATATGTGGGAAGTGAATCTACAGTTTCTGCATAAATCTTGCTCACTACTTCCCGAACCTCCTCCACCACCCAGACCAGTCAGCTCCTCCTTGAATGGCTTTCAGTGTTTTCTCCTTTTTTCTCAGTTCTCCAAGGCATATCTGGTGCTGCTCTGTGTCTGAATCTAAATTCAGATCACTCAACAAGTCCTATTCCTTCTTCATTTTTAAGATTTTCTACTTCCAACTCTTGCATTCAACTTTTAAAAAAATGTTTATTTATTTGATAAGGAGAGGGAGAGAGAGAGAGAGAATGAGAATCTTGCATCTGTTGGTTTACTCCCCAGTGGGCATAACAGCTGGGTCTAGACTATTGCTTTGAACTCCATCCAGGTCTCCTGTGTGGGTACAGGAGCCTAAGCACTTGGGCCATCTCCTGTTGCTTTCCCAGGTGGATTATCAGGCAGATGGATTGGAAATGCAGCAGCCAGAACTTGAACTGGCACTCATATGGGATGCCAGCCTCACAGGTGGTGGCCCAACCCTCTATGCTACTATGTGAACCCCTTGCATCCAATTTTTAATTTAGGCTTGTAGTACTATTGGCTGCATTCATCTAGCAATATTCCACAAGTACAGATTGAGGTATCTTCTCTCTCACAGGCACTGTTCTGTTCTGGATACTTTTATATAAAATGGTTAAAAAGAGACATAAATCCTTCTGCTTATGTAACACACACACACACACACACACACAAAGGAGAGGGGAGGCATTTCCTAATGTTAAAGGAATATTGGAAATTTTGAGGATCTGAAAGGTTTGTGTTCTTGAAGCACAAGGAATGATATGAGATGAAGTTAGAGATAGAGTCAGACCATGCAGTTAATGATTTTGATTTTGGGGTTCACTGAACGAATTATATGATTCTATTTCCACTTTAATTTTATTTATTTATTTGGAAGGCAGAGTGACAGAGGTGGGGAGAGAGAGAGAGAGAGAGAGAGAGAGAGAGAGATTTTCTATCTGCTGGTTCACTACACAAATGCTTACAATAGCCAAGTTAAAGCCAGGAGCCCAGAACTCCATTCAGGTCTCCCACATGGGTGGCAAAGACTCCAGTACTTGAGCTATCACTTGCTGCCTCCTGGGGTGTGCATGAGTAGGAAGCTGAATTAGAAGTGGAACCAGAACTCAAACCAGGGCACTCCTATACAGGATGTGGGCGTTCCAAGCAGCAGTAGCTTAACTGTTGAGCTGCAACACCTGCTTGCTCCTTTGCAAAAAATGGGTAGAAGCAGAGACACCAAGAAGTGAAAAGGGGAGCCCAGTTTGAAGGACTTTGCTGTAGGCTTAGCAATGGCCAAGAACAGAAAGAAGTAGAGATAGAGGGAGGGGGTAGGTTCCAGATGTTTCCGTTATAGAGTAGATAGTATAGATAATTAATTGAATGCTGGTATCAGAGACCAGGAGCTGTGCTTGATTTCTAATTTAAGAAGTAATGAAATAATAGCACTTACTGTGTTTCAGGAAATCTGGATTATATTTTAGTTATGAGGGAGGGGTAGGGTGATCCAGAGGTTAGTACTATATTAAATGTTTTAAAAGATTTATTTAAAATGCAGAGTGACAGAAAGAAGGGGAGACAGAAAGAGAGATCTCCTATCTGCTGGTTCACTTCTCAAACAGCTGCTTCAATGGCTGGAGCTGGTCCAGGTTGAAGCCAGAAGCCCAGAACTCCACGTTGGTCTTCCACATGTGTGGTAAGAGCCCAAGTACCTGGGCCATCTTCTGCTGCCTTCCCAGATGCATTAGCAGGGAGCTGGATTGGAAACAGAGCAGCTGAGACTTGAACTAGCGCTCTGATATGGGATGCTGGTGTTGCAGGCAGCAGCTTAACCTGCTGTGCCACAACACTGCCCAGTACTAACTTTTAAAATAGTTGAGAGACATCTACATGGAGATATCAGGGTTGCAGCTGGAGTTCATAAAAGAGGTCTGGGCCAGAAAGATCAATTTGGGATTTATTATAATTATGGATGTTGCCATAGCCATAGGAATGGGCAAGATCACAACAAGGGGTAAGAGAGCTCCAAGTAGAACTACAAAGATCTTCATTATTGAGAAGCTAGGTACAAGAGGAGAAGACTGAGAAAATAAAAACCAGAAACATAAGAGAAAAACAGGTAGAAATGATGACATGGACATCAATAGACTTAAGATGTTTGTCCTATAATCAGTTTAATGTTTCACCTATTCAACTGAGATAAAAAATCCAAACAATAGTCCTTTGAGATGAGAAGGAAACAGACCCTCTCATTCACTGTTGTTGAATGTGTAAAAAGGGGAATTGAGCAATGTTAAACAAATTTATATGTGCATTTACAATCTGACACATTCAACTCCTGGAAGTCTGTCTACCCAACACCTGGACAAATATGACATATCTGGACAAACTAATTCACAGTGGCATTGCTTGTACAGAAAAGATCTGAATAGGACCGAGTATCCTGTGATAAGACACATCTGTGCAATGAATATTGGACAGCCAATTAAAAAAGCTGTACTAAGACTCAACAGTATTCTGCCTACAATTAACTTAAGCCTTCGGCACACGCACAGACTGAAAGTTAAGGGGTGGAAATCGATATACCATGGAAACGATAGCCAAAAGAGAGCATACGTGGCTATACTTCTAACAGACAAAAGAGACTTTCAGTCAAAATCTACACCAAATGACAAAAGAGGTCATTATAGATGATAAAGGAGTCAATTCATCAAGAGAACATAATGGGCCGGCGCCGCAGCTCACTAGGCTAATCCTCCACCTGCGGCGCTGGCACCCCAGGTTCTAGTCCCGGTTGGGGCGCCAGATTCTGTCCCGGTTGCTCCTCTCCCAGTCCAGCTCTCTACTGTGGCTCTGGAAGGCAGTGGAGGATGGCCCAGGTTCTTGGGCCCTGCACCTGCATAGGAGACCAGGAGGAAGCACCTGGCTCTTGGCTTTGGATTGGCACAGCACGCTGGCCGCACCGGCCATTGCAGGGTGAACCAACAGAAAAGGAAGACCTTTCTCTCTCTCTCTCTCTCACTGTCCACTCTGCCTGTCAAAAAAAAAAAAAAAAAGAATATAACAATTATAAATATAAATGCGCCTAATACTGGGGCACCTGAAATTAACAAATTTCAAATTAACAAAACTGAAAGAAGAGATGGCAGTATAGTGATAGTTTCAACAATGGATAAGTCATCCAGACAGAAATTCAATAAGAACAGTGGATTTGAATAATACGCTATACCAAATGCCCTAACAGACATATCCAGGATATCCAACCCAACTGAAGAAAAATACACATTTGTTTTTCTCTTCCACACAGGAGCATTCTTCAAGACAAATCATAAATTGGCTCACAAAACAAGTCTAGACAAAGTTAAAGAGACTAAAATCAGATCAAGTATCTTTTCTGAATACAGTGATGTGAAACTAGAAATCGATAATGGAAGGAATTTGGGCAAATTCCTAAGTATGTGGAAAATCTTTGGGGGGCTGGCATTGTGGCACAGTGGATTGGGCTGCCACCTGCAACCTCAGCAACCCTTATTGGAGCACCTATTGAAGTCCTGGCTGCCCCACTTCTCATCCAGCTCCATATTGGTCTTCCTGGGAGGGCAGGAGAGGATGACCCAAGTACTTGGGCCCCTGCTGACCATGTGGGAGACCTGGATGGATTTACTGGCTCCTTGTTTAGACTTAGCCCAGCCCTGGCCATTGCAGCCATTTGGGGTGTTAACCAGCAGAGGGAAGACATCTGTGTGTGTGTGTGTGTGTGTATGATGTGTGTGTCCCTCTCTCTCTAACTCTGCTTTTCAAATAGATAAAATAAATCTTTAAAAATGATACCACAGAAATACAAAGGATCATAAGAGACTACAATGAACAATTATATACCAACAACTGGGTAACCTAAAAGAAATGGATAAATTCCTAGAAACATACAACCTATCAAGATTGGATCATGAGCAAATAGAAAATATGAACAGATTGGGGACAGCAATGTGGCGCAGCGGGTTAACACCCTGGCCTGAAGCACCAGCATCCCATATGGGCACCGGTTCTAGTCCCGGCTGCTCCACTTCCCATCCAGCTCTCTGCTATGGCCTAGGAA